TTTTTTTTTTATTCAAGAACAGCAGTGCAGATCCAGAAACATCTTTGTTACATCCCACGAGCACAGAGGTGCAGCCATTAAATAGACAAGCGCGAATGGCCCGCGTTCTGCGGCCCTCAGTTTGAAGCGGGGCTTGGAGACCCCATCAGAGGTTAAGTTTCTAATGGGTTAGGTGCCCACCTCCATTTAAATCACAAGGTAGTTACTCATCAGCTCTCAGAAAAGAAACACTGGGTCCACACATGAATCTTATTGATCAATAAACAACATGATCAAAGGATTTATCTAGCCCAGTTTCTGGCACTTTCCAAGGCGTCTCTCCGTGCAGGCTGAAAGCGAGCCGTGCACCTTTTGAACTGGTGTTTCAGACCACAGCTCACCCCTGGCAGTGCTGCATCACCAGTCTATCTTGTCACATTCAACCCCTCTAATGTTGGGGCAACAAATATAATTAATTTATTTTAATTAAAAAAAACCAACCCCTTGCTGTTAGTGCACAACGAATGGATTTGGTCACATCACAAAATAAAAAACAAGCAGGTTTGGTCGACAGCTTGGCAAGTGGGTAAATACAGAGATACATACACACACTGGAAAGCATTCAATTTTACAATTGCTGAATCTCACTTTACCCTTTCAGTTTATCCTAAAGCAGGCAGATTTTATCTGGGCCCATTCATATTTCGTCCTGTGTTCTGTATTTCCACTAAGTAGGTAATTACTTCCACTTTTTGCCTCCCCCAGTTCCAGAATACACAGCCCGTGTGTGCCCCCCCGTCCCGTCCCGCTCCATCCTACCGGCTTTCCAAAGAGCAGCTCGGCCCTCACGCCTGACCCGGCTCCTCAATTCACCAGGTGTTCACAGACACTCCTTGCTAAAAGTGTATTTCTCTTTCACCCTTTACACTGCAATTTAATCATTTCAGACTTTGGAGTCTCAAATACACCAAACCCTCTACGTGAGGGTCTCTAGTCACCTTTATCTTTTATTTCAACATGTCTCTAACTCTGCCCCCTGTTTGACCATAAGGATGGACCACTCATCTGTTTGATTAAGCAAACTCTTGGCTGAACACGGTTCCTCTCCAAAATACTCTGATTTTCCTCACAAACCTCTTATAGCAGAGCTCCTGAAGAACTCACTGCTAACGCAACTCCTCCCTGTGTAGGTACTCCACAGGAATACCAAGTGCTCCAATGCTAGACAAAGAGTTTCTTTACCACTTTCTTCTGCATCTAGTTCTGGATGCTTCCTTGCCAAAGTGCCTCAACGCTCAGATTGAGAAGGAACACGCTCAAAAGATCTGCTGGTAAGGATACAGGCACCCAATCTCAAGTTAAACATCAGCTCAGTAACATTCTATATCACTCCCTAGAAAACTGAGGAAAACCACACTGGAACTCTACAACCAGGGTATTCCAAGTGCAGGGATTAACATTTTGACATTTTACAACTTCCTGTGGAATTCTGTGGTTTGGGTGCAGAATACACCGAAGCGGCATCCAGGATTTTTATTTGACCACACGCTTCACCCAACACCTTTCCCTATCCTCTTTAAGAAACAACCTGTGCTCAGAGAGGCCCGTGCTACACGTGCAAGTCATTTTCCCTTCCTGACACCTGTAAAAGGCAGGACCAGAAAATGAAACAGCTTTAACCTGTCAAACTTCCCCCAACTCTTTGGAGGCAAGTTTGCTCTTTTAAGAGCATCTGCTGAGTGGCCCACCAAGGAACCTGCCAGGAAGAACAGGAGCTGGGAACACTATAACCATTCGTTCACGGCCGCAAAGAGCTCTCATCCTCCAGCAGTCGACTGCTGCCCCTAAAAAGGAAACTTAACCTTCCTGAGGATCCACAAAGTACCACGATTCTTCAAGAGCTGGAATATTATTTTAAGAAATCAACAGCACTCTAAATAACAGTGGAACTGAATGTTTCCAGTGCAGAACACGAACCCACTGTCAGAACTCTTAAGAATCTGTTTAATTACAGTCTGAAAAATGGAAACCTCTCCAAACAGAATGGTTCTGTTCCCATGGGCTATTTTACCTATCAATCCTTTCTTTGCTACTAGGAGGCAGACTGAAGGAAGGTACACAAGAGACTTGTTTAGGATAACGTCCCAAGAACAGGATTCAATTGTTTTAATTTATCTTCAATTTCTGAAGATGAAAACAAGTCATATTTAGGATATCCACAGAACAGTGAAGTCTCTCGGTCTTCAGAAGGTAAAACTAGGTTTTTGTGAAATAACACAATCACTGACTGTTGTTTAAAGATAGCTGTTCATTAACAAAGCGCCTCTGCTTTGCTTAAACAGATTACAGAAGGAAGCACGGTTGTCCAAACTGAAGCTCAGCAGCCAGGCTGAGGACCTAGCAAACACAAGGGATCTAACGGCTGCGGTGCACGCGTGTGTACGCACATACACGTGTACTTGGTGCTACGCTGGGGGGGAGGCACAACCCTCTTGCTAGAAATTCTACTTAAGGCTGTCAGCCTCAGCATCCAAAACCGCAAAATATTTTAAGTCCTCCAAGCTGAACTGTGAAAAAATATCCAGCACTTATGATGGGTAAATATAACGTATAGAAACATTTTTAAGCAGTTCAACTAACCTCTGGCCTCTACACTTGCACATGCAGACCTAGCTGGCTCTCCAATCAAGACAGCTACTTCAAAACAAAACACCAACAAATCTTAAAGAATGCGACGGCTAAAAACTTCTGCATAAGTAATTTGCAGAACATCATCCCATCTGGCTGCAGTTGCTAGTACTTACCTTCCAGAATTAATAAACAGCGCGTCCATGTGAGATCTGAGCATTAAAGGATTCATGAAGAATGAGCAAAACTCGTTTAGCGAGTCATACTCATTAAGCTCCTAATGACACAGCCACGAACCCTGCATGTGAGAAACCCTAAGAAATCTGACACACTAAATGCAAGACGATTTTCCTCCACGTTGTAAGTTAGGAACAAGCCTCCCACAGGAGAGAGGATCATCACCACGAAGGCTGGAAACCACATCAGACAAGGCCGTAGCTAAACTACTTCTTCGAGCCATAGTTCCACCATCTACTTTTGCAAGCTAACCCTAATGCCAGGAACTAAAATGAGACTGAAATAGCAGGAGAAATCACTTGCTTTTGCCAAACTGCAAAACAACATGAAGTCCCAACCCTAGGCTGCTTTCTTTATTGTCATGATGGAAACCTAGAAGCTCACTTAAGGTTGGAAAGGGTATTTTCAGGCAAGCCAGCCAGAGAAACCCAGTGAAGATATTAGAACATCTCCCAGAAACACCAGCTTCTTTTTCAATCACTTTCAAATTATGGCTTTTATTACTAAATTACCAGATTCTCAGTCTCTCCTTCAGGTTACCCTAATGATATTTTTAGTGTTCGAATTCGCGGTGGGAAAGACAAGTGCTGCTTAACTAGAAGATTTTCTCAAGAGTGTTTTCAGTCTTTTGATCTCACACATTCATCAAGTGGCATTAATTTTGTCCAGTCTTTTGAGAGAGGGAGATGGAGCACCAAAGGAAAGCACTCTTTTTTTATTTGCTCTTCTTTCCAGATTCTTTCTGTTCTGCCCATTTTCTACATCCTCACACCAAACACTCAGGAAGTCAAAGCACGGAAACCTCAGCTTAAAAACAAATCATCTAATCTTGGGGACAAGTAGCCAACTACTGCTTAGAAATCTAACGGATGCATTCTCACAGGCATTACAAGGAGCAATGATACCTCCCTGATGTGTTAAACACCATGAAATCATTTTGAACCCTGCAACCCTAGCTACCAGCACACACCTCAGACTGACTACCACCAGACACCTCCGCTGACAATTTTCAAAGCCAGCAGCAGGGTTTGGGACACACCCACATCAGGTACGCAAGAGAAACTGCAACTGATTTTCATTGTAAAGAGTGCTTAAAAAGGAATCAGATTATTCAAATTCCCTTTGTGTCCAGAGTATCCCAGAAATAGTCTATCTTCCCTGCAAAGCAAAGTTTGGTCCCAAAGAGTTTTGTCAGGTTAGAGTCATTTTAGGGGACCTCCTTTAAAGAGGCTGCTGCAACCTTCTGCTGGCAAAAAGTTATGCTTTGTTGTAAGCTGGGTTTTTAACAAATTCAAAATGCAAAGAGAGCCCAAAGCCTGAGTCCCCTGCCACCGCTGTTTCCTCAGAATGAAGCTCTCCCCAAGACTGTACATAGCTTTGCATCTAAACACCTGCAAACAAATGCTGTTTTATCGAGATCTTAAGAGTGTTCAAAGCTAGTCTGAAACCTCCAGTTTCAGCACACCACTACTAGTCAGAGTAGGCACCCACAGTCATCAAACAGGATTTGTTTCAAAGCAAGGTTTTTACATCTTTTTGTCCTTGGAATTTTGAAACTAACAAATAATTTTCAAATCCACTGCAAACATCTGAGTCACAAACCTTAGGAAGACTGAAATTAGCCAAGCTTTCATTATAGCAGTAACAGATGTAGCAGCGCTATGTTCATCTAGCCTGGTTCTGAAACATGAACATTAAATACGTATTTTCTAACAATCGGAGCTCAGAACTACAAAATGGAAAAATATTTTTGTGAAAGTCACAACAGAGAAGTAAGTATTTCACCTATAAATTTCTGGAGTAATGAATGAATAATTATATATTGACCAAAGCAGCAGGGAAAAAATGTCATTTTAGGAAGGCTACCATCTTCCATTCTCTCCCCCTTACTCCTCCCTCTGGTAACACAGATAACCATAAAACAATGGTCAATGAAATACCATTTAATTGAATTAACTTTTCTAACTTTATATGCACAGAAAGACTGGACCAAGCAGCCCTCAACACCTGTAAGAATTATGAGCTCGCTTTCCATGTTCTGTTCCCCATCATCATGGTAATTTTCCAGACGTGTGAATATTTCACTGGGATCAAAATTTACAGGTTGCCAGATCTGTGTGCAAGCTGGGTTCAGACTAACTACACAAAGAAAGTACCTGCTGCCTCCAGTAAGGCTTCTAGTCTTGCTTGTGTTTCTGGATCCACAGTTCTCAAGTCCGCACCTTCTGCAGCGCTCGATAAGAACAACTCCGACGTGGTTTTAAGTACTGGGTTATCAAGATCTTCTTGGTCCAAAATAAATGATTCAACCTGTTTGCCAAGTTAGAAAAATAATTTTACCATTTTTGAAGTATTATATTAGAAAGAACACAAAATAATTAACTGTACTATCATAATAATGTTTTAACTGTATAGATTAGAGGATACAACTGTAAAAATCTGGTCAACTCACTGAAAAGTTAGTTGCAATCACAAAAGAAAAAACTCTACATGAGAAACAGTTTATTGTCAAAATTACAATTAACAAGACCTTAAACTACAGCAATGGCAACTCAGACTAAATATTGAAGAAATGTTATGCATGTTTGCACAGTTATGCACCAAAACAGACTGGCACAAGAGGCTGTAGCATCTTCATCACCAGAAGTCTGCCTACTTTATTAAAAGAAGCTGCCAGTAATGACTTTGGTACAGCTGAACCTATCCGAGAGCCAGGGGGGAACCGAATGGTTTCCCGAGATGCCTTTCAGTTCTTTTTTAAAAGTAATTTCAACTAACGTAGCACAAGTATTTTCTTTGTTTTGAGGAGCAACATGATAGTTAAATACAATTCAGACCCAAAGCCTCTGTTTCCAAGCTGGTACTTAGTATTACCAAAGTCATTAATGTTTTCTAGACAAGAACAGATACGCAGAACAATTAAGCAAGCCGGTATTCCAAGCAAGCAGCAATAATGCTGTCCCACCAGTGGCCCACATGATCTCCAAGTACAAGCTCATGGAATTACTCAACATAACACACTGTAGTTTTACGACAGCTTGCCAGAGTAAACAAGGAGGATACCTGACTCATACTCTAATGAGAGCAGAAAATTTCAGAATCTGTCCCAAGTTCAGATATATTACTGAAAATAAAGGAAATTAAGAAAAAAACACTATTTCATAATCAGACATTATCTGTTCGATGCTATCAGTGCCTTAAATACGCTGCAGAAGCGAGTCGCTCGTTACGCAGCCACTGCTGCCCTTACCCACTCCATGCCCCAGTCCCACCTTCCTTTCTCTGTGTTCCTCCCCATCTTTCTCACGCCAGCAGCAAACCATCACCATATTGGGCCCTATCACACAACACCCCACACCACCTTAAGAAAGGGATAGCTTATACTTCAAAAAAATCAAATCAGGCCATCTGCAAACTCATTAAGTGCCCCATTGTGTGAAGAATGTTAACATAAGCCTGGAGAGCTACACAGAGCGCTGCTATTCAAGAACAACTTGAGTTCATTTCTTCCCCTTTTTGATATGTAAATGTTCCGTAACTTATCCTCGGTACCCAAGCCGTGGGTGCCCACTGAAATGCGGTGTTACCAGGTGAATACAATGGGCATCAGGGAGAAGGAGTGGCTCTTAGGAACACAGAACAGGAGTTCCACATCTCAGGGGTCACACATGATGTTGGCCAGCTTACAGGTACTGTATCCTGCGGGCCAAGGCACAAATATTAACACTGAGACAGCAGGCTAAGATTTAGGGCTTGAAGAAGCAAGATGTCTAGATTGGTCCAGACAACAGCCCTAAAATAAGAGAACGGTCACTGTGAGAAAGAGTTGAGCATTAAAGCAGCAGACAATTAGCAACCTAAACCACTGACACATTTTTCCTGCAAAGAAAGAAGAGCTATTTACAACTCACAGCAAACATATCCCTACAGTAGCTTCCCCTCCGCAGAACTCCCATCCCAGGTTGGGTCCAGCTAGCCGGCTTAAGGACTCCCAGCTCTGATGCACAAGCTCTGACTTCTGGAAAGATCTACCCTTATCTACAGAAGTACTTCAGGGGCTTTCGTTTTCTCCCCAAGACTACGCAAGGCACTTTGCCTCACCAATATGTTAGAAATATTATTCCTATTGCAACAATGTTCATGTGACCTGGTGACAAGTAGAAAATCCCACTGTGCACATAAGCGATTGCTCGTCATACAGAGTTGAGAACTACATACAACACATTTTATTACATGCTAATGGACCTTTTTTCCCCCCCTCTTTTTCAATTACACCACTAAATGTAACAGCAGTCCTCCCTCCTGAAGACACACCAAACGTGGTAGAAACACTACCCACCTGAGAACAACAGATCCTGCAGAGAGGCTGAAAGTGCCTCCTGGGGAGGCTTTGCCTTGGGTCGCAGGAGAAGTCTGATGCATCCCAGCAAAGCTAAGCACACACCAGCCCTGCATCAACCCTCCAGGAGCTGCTTGCTCCATTGCAAGTTTTAAAACTTCATTTTTTTTTGACACCTCAGAAAAAGATTCAGACCATTTTCTCCTCACCTGCTGCCACCCCACGCTCACCTGTCCGTATTTACGGGACATTACCTACACCACCACGCCTCTCTGCGTTAATCGGTGCTAATTCACCATTCACACACACTCCAACTCACAAGGAACATCTCTCTCACCCCAACAGGAAGCACATCTTGCTTACAGGAACCTCTGAAATAGTCCGTCTTTTTAGCACTGGTTACACAAACACTGCTTATTAAACCCAATTACAGATGCTTTTACTTAAGGTACGAGCCGGGCAGTACTGGTGCAGCCTGTTCTTTTCACCGCTCTCCAACTCCTCCTACCTTTCGGCTCTTCTTTAGCTTTGCAACTGTACTTCCAGAGACCTTGCACAGTCCAAGCCTCACACAAAATCCTGCTTCATACACAGTATTTTCATCTTAGTTTATCGCAGCAAGAAAAGGCAGCTGCTTTCATTATTTCTGCACATGTTGAGCATCAATTTTTAGTTTTTGTTTTGATTTTTAGTAAGAGCTTAACAACATCCCCACAACACAAATATAACTTGAGTGTGAAAATACGGAAATCCATATGCAAAATGTTAAAATAGCTGTACCAGTGCCAGTCTCCCAGAACAAGTTTCAATGCATTTTCAAGTCAGAACATCTGACATCTCTGTAAATGGATGCAGTTTCTCGCACACTAAGGCTGGAGAGCATGAACAGTTGCGTACCTGATCACTTAACAGCAGCCTAAGAAATTACTTCATCCACCAGGTGCTCTTGTGAGCTCAAGTGACCTGCATTGATCACCTATTAATCACCATCATCACAATAATAATAAAATCAAACTACCCTAAACACATCAAATAATTTTTACTTCTTTAAACAAAAATTAAACTTCATTAAAAACCAGAACAAAACCCACCAGATTACACGTTAGCATTCCTGAAGGACTTTATACACTGCTCATGTTGCAAAATGTAGGCACTCTGCTCTATCCTGATCAGATCTGGAGCAAGGCGATAGAGTAACCAGTCACTGGGCTATTTTTGGATTATTTTGCGAGCTGCTTTGGGCAGTTAATAAGCATCTTACTTGGTAAGGCTCGTTAGGACCACATGGATTCAAGACATTATTCTAACTGCCAAACCAACTGCAACTAGGAGTAACTCCCAATCAACCCCCAAAAAAGCTGCTCGCTGCACGGGCCCCGAGGACAGGACGCTGAACGTCAGGGCACTTCCCTACATCCTCGTGTTTCACGCTCATCCGCAGGAACGATGGACCTTCCCTGAAGCTCTGCCAAGGACTGCAGCCACCTCCCAGCTCTGCAGATCCAGTTACACCACTGGTTCCTCCCTCCACAGCAGCTACATTCACAGCTATTTGGGCTCAACTACATCAGTACTCATACCTTAATACCATGATTTGAGTTTACCTCAGGTCAGGGGTGCGTAAAGGCAACTTTGCAAGCACCAACATCACAACACTAGCAACTCTTGCACGATGGGCAACGACACACAGGGTTAGAAACACATTTCAATATTAAGTCTAAACTGATCTTTCCTACACTGCGTTACTGAAAAAAAAAAAAAAAAAAAAAAAAAAGTACTTTTCCCAGAATAGCCCGGACCCGCTCACAAATAGCCCCTTTACTGAGACAGGCTACGAGCGACGGAGAACACTTCCTGCTGTAGCTGTACCAGCACCGTCCTCTCCTCCTCCTACTGCAGGCAAGGGCAGCAGCCGAGATGGCTCCTTCTACCTTCTCCTTCCATTTGTGCCACACCAGGACTTCTCAGAAGACTTATCTTTAACAAAAGTGTTGGTAAGAAAGAGAGAGTTGCTATCAAATCATTTCCTTGAACTTGCATTTCTCAGATATGCACCGAGCTGTGAACACTTTTCTGGGGTAACGATTCTTCTTGCTCTGCATTTGTGGAGCATCTACAAATAACGAAGACCCAAGCCCTTGGCTGGGACTCCTGAACTCCTATTTATTATGCAAATAAATGAATACCTGATTTTCTCTCTCGTGTTAGGTAACCCTTCCCAATTATTTCTGTAACAATTCCATTTGGACTTAAGTCTAAATACATCTGAATACCTGCAGAGGGAGCTTGGCTTCCTTAAGGTCAATACAGGCCTGTAGATCAGGCTGAAGGTTCATGCCTGTGATGTTGAAATAGATCATCTACATTTCAACTATTTTCATTCCCTGATTAACAAGATGTGCAATGCTGTAACCTAATACAGCACTAGGAAGATATTGTGGTTTTGTCTGATAAACCCAACCTCTGACAGCATATGTTGTGATGTCCTGAATGCCAGTATCTGACTGCTATTTGTAATCCTGCTCCAAAAGTTTTGGGGAACACTGAGAGGACATCAGATTCCAGAGCACTAAGTTGAGAATGAAAATGAGTTTGTATCTCAAATTTGACATCAAACCCCCTTAAATTCCACATAAGGAATGTCAGCTTCAAAACTATTAAAAATAATTATTCCAAGGAGAAAGTGAAGTGAAGGACTTTGTCACTGACACGGCATTCCCAGGAGTTTCCTGTGACAGGTGCAGCACTGCACGCCCAGTGTAGACAGGCAAAAGGCCTGGCTTTGGTTTACCTGGAGAGGTACTGAACACTCATCTCCCCCAGCCGTACCAAGCAAACATTTCTGCACCTACTGAAGGTATCCTCCTGGCATCACTATTTCAGTTTCAAGAGATGGGGTAAAGGAAGAGGAAAAACCATACACAAATGTGGGTATTTTCACAGAACCTTTCGGTGGCATCTCAGTAC